CTGTTTTTGGACGTTTAGGTGACGTAGGGAACACCTCGGATACCTTATTGTCCTTCTCAGGAGCAGGAGAAAGAGGCCCCAGATTTACGCATTGACCTATTTTATCAGGTATTCGCAAAGGCTTGTTCTCTACTGATTCACTTTCCTCTAAGCAGAAGATGGAGGTTGCTTCTTTATATTTATTTCCTGAACCCAATAAATACCAACCAAAAACTGACAAAGATGCAAACGGTTGGTTGGATTTCCCTATACGCTGCTCCAGCACCCAGTGTGCTTCAGGTACATTAGTCCCAATTAGTAGACTGACCTGTTTACATTCGACGTCTAGAAAGGGAATTTCTGCCAGGTGAGGCCATTTTTTCATCTGTTCGTTTGAAGGAGTCTTAGGTCTCTTTACAGGTAAGCTTTCCACGGTGTAGGCACTCTTGACCCTTGTCTTGTAATCTCCCGTTAAGGATTCAACTTCGAAATCAACCTTGGATGAATTCTGAGAAGTAGTTCCACAGAAAGATGTTACCTGCATCAATGTACTAACCCCTTCCAGTCCTATTTGGTGGGCAACATGACTCAGCAGTAGTGTAGCATCTGAACCATTGTCGAGAAAGGCATAGGTATCTAGAAATCCTTTAGGTCCTAAGATACGAATCGGCACATATCCTAAAAAGGAAGTTCCGGGTTCCGTGCTAGAGTAGTTGACAGTCAGGCATGCTGAATTATCTTCATTGTGTAGAAGTTTATGATGATGTCTAGTGCATCCCACTATATCGCAACCTCTTGCTGCACGACAAGTGTCAGCTCGGTGATTAAGTTTCAAACAGTTGAAGCACACCTTATGCCGCATTGACACTGCTAGTCTCTCTTTGTGACTCATAGACAAAAAGCGTTGACATTCCCATAAGTCGTGATCTGTGAAGCAAACTATGCACGACTTCTGGGCTCGTGACTTCACGACATTAACGCTGTGCGAAGGCATAGCTCTGGACATTTTTTCATTGGACCCTACTTCGTTGTTGTTCCTATTCGCATTAGCTATCTGGCCGTAACAGCTTGTAGCCAATGACAGTTGCCCTTCGAGGAATTCTTTGAGGTAACGAAAGCTAGGTTCAGCAAACTGTAAACCATCGTTTACCAATTCTGCCCACTTCCATCGTAGGTGCCGGGGGAGACGCTGAACAATGCACTTAAGGTTGGTAGAGCAGTCCAAGTCTGCCATGTAATTCATCTGAGATAAGGCTATCTCACAATTGGTCATCTGTCTCAACAACCGTTGTAGCCCAGCTATATCTTCAGGTTGCAGCTGTGGGCCTGACAGTAATTCGGAAAGGAAGGCATCCGAAACTGCATGAGGTTGGCCAAATTGACTTCGTAAAATCCCCATGGCTTTCCTATAGCCTACCTCAGAGGGCAGTAGAATGCAATGCTCTATGGCCTCCTTGGCTGTACCAACACAATTGTGTATGAGATGCATTAACCGTAGGTTGTCATCATTAGTTTGTTCTCCTATGAACATGTTAAAGCATCTTATAAACTTCAGGAACTTAGTTGGTGTACCATCGAACTTATCCATCTCAATTTGAGGCATTCTAATGGGGCTAACTGAGTTCAGGAGTGGTTGCACTGGTGTGGCAGTACGATTTGACTCTGGAGGTGGTCCTGGGCAATAGTTGGTGCTACCGTCTAGGAATTGGCTTGTCGAAGGATTGGCGCAAGATCGAACGCAGCTGGCTGTGGTCCTAACTTGTTGAGAGCACTCGCTCTCCAATTTTCGTCGTTTGCTGCGAAGTCTAAGCTCTTGAACCTTAAGCTCTAGAATCTCTAATTCGGTAGCAACATTCGAATCAACATCAGAGTCTACTACTACACTACCTCCCCTAGCAATATTATCAAAACCTAGGCTGACATGAGGGGTGTGTTTAAAATTATCAAAATCAGATAAGGAAACAGGTAAAGAAGAAACTTGCGGTGAAGATAAATTGACTCGAAGATATTCTTCAGCGTTTTCCAGTTTTCCAGACATATTACGAGTAACCGGCATTGATAATTATCCAAATAGATCAACAAGACCAATTTTGAGTACTGTGAATTTCTCCCGAAAGAAATCCGAAACGATAATCCAAATTATAGATTTAACCACACGTAGAGTGACGCGTAAAGTGCGAAATACAGGATATTCTGCAATACGGTACTTTATTACATAAAAATAGATATATAATATACAAACCTCAAAATGTGAGGTGTCTGTGGCTAAATGCCGTCAAATGCACAACCACTGTGCAGTCAATAAGTAAAAACAGCAATGCTGTGTCAAGGTCGATCCACGTGTCGGTTCAAACGGCCCGCGAATGCCAAGCAAAGAATAAACAAATATGAACAAACAACTTTCAATAGTAAAGCATACACTATAGGGTAAGGTCAGCAAATAATGTTTAAGGAGAAGAAAAATAAGAACTATACATTAATAGAATGATAATAGAACAAGTAATTTAACTGCAGTTGTAAGCAAATGTCATTGTTATAAATTAACATATAAAAATCATACTACTTACTAATGGCAAGTAGTATAATGTTGAACAAAGGAAAGATTGAGAATGAACAGGTAGGAAAGGAATTAACACCATATATATCACACCTCTTGGGTTAAGAAACAGTTTTCAGAAAAGACTAACAAACTCGCTTTATAGTCGGCAAATCAAGAGGCACTTATTTATAATAACCATTTATGCATTATTATTATTATTATCTGTATTAGAACATTAATTAACTTATGTTTTGTGACTACCTATTTTGGTTTTTCTGTTTAATGGGTAAATTTTCTGCAATATGATAATTCTGTTTTTTATAAAGCTACTGTTTGATAAATTACAAATATTATTATGGTGTCCATATAGATACCAAAAGGTAAACCAATTTAAAGCAAATAGATTACTATGCAGCTATTAAAGAAAAAACGACACGTTTCCACCAGACACCATCGAAATATTAAACATACAATGGACAGCAAATTTACTACGATTTGCTGAAGCTATGGAAATCATATGTTTCAAACCAAACTTATATATACATAGAGAGAGTGTAATTAATCTACAACTCCCTTAGCGGTGGCATTTTGATTACATTGATTGGTCATCCATATCAATGATTTCAGGTCACTGAGCTATATGAACTTACAACCTAACACTGTCCATTAGATTGTTCTGTCTTCTCCCCCACCCCTCCTTTTCTATTTTGAAACATTGATGTCATTGCCACTTTTTATAACTATTGAAATTTCAGGTTATTTGCGGCTGATGAAAACCTTTGAATAGATATCCTTTTACATTGCAAAATTTAGTCCTTCTTTCTTCATCAAAACTTTAACAAACCAAGCTAAATATTTTTATTGTTTCGATATTTAGGTCTAGAAATAAGAAGAAGAGTAAAATAATTTCCATCTCAATAAAAAAGTTCATTTTTGTTGTGTGGTATCAACAAATGGACTAGTTGTAAGCAGAAGAATATGATTTGATGTTTATTGATGAGCAGACGTTGATCGAAATATATGGTAAACGTTGTAAAATTTTATTCTTCAGAGGTTTGCATGAATGAATGTATTTAGGTATAGGGGCATGAGTTCATAGGCAATGGCAACACTATCTATTTGTCGTATTCGTCAAGTAAAATGAACCAGGAATTACACCTTTCTTAGAATGAATGTTTAGAAAAGCAGTTAACGTTACCGTTTCCGGTGCCAACGAACACTATCGCATGTATTTCAGAATAAATTGTTTCCTTAAGCATAGTTAAAAGTGTATTACGTTTCACAGACATCAGAAAAGTAAACATGAATCATAATAATAAATAAACAGAAGAATCTCAGCGTATGTTATCATAATTATGAAATGAATCCTACTAAGTTACTTGTTTGCTTGCATGTTCTACACAAGCTGGAGTTATTTTCGTAAGTCGTAGTTTGAAATTCATGTCAGCTCCTACACAATTCAGCCAATGAGATAACTGGCTTATAAATGAGCAGATGTTGCTGTAATCTTTGTATTCTTTCACCTGCTTTTGTAACATCAGTTGTTATTCTGAGACAGAGACCTTGAGAATAGTAGTGGAGTATGGTTTTGTTTAATATAACACAACACGATGCAGTATTATGTGCTAATTTACCTTAAAAACATCTAATACTGAACCGTCGTTTGTCGCATTATGATAGTTTACTACATGTGTACAATTACTTCATTGTAAAAGGTATAAAAATAACTTTAACTGTACTTATTATTATTCATTTTATCCCTTCACGTCCCCAGTGGAAAATGGGGCTTCAGGCTAGAGTTTTGAAGTCTCGGTAGCAGTAATGTTTTTTTTTTACGGAGTACGGTTGCTAGGCCAAGCCCAACATTTCCACTTTACCGGTCTTATTACCGGCTTGGAGAGGTTAGGGAGTGCATTGGCTACGGATCGAAACCCAAACCACATGCGTGGTTGACCTGCATTCTACTACTAATCCACCAACTCACCTCTTATACTGTAAGATATATTAATTTACTTATTCTGTTTTTAATAGTTATAATGAAAACAGAGTTACATGCTGTGAAAGATTAGTAGTAATGAGACGGAAAAATGGATAAATGGTAAAAATTGTGAAACATAAAAATGAACATTTCAGTTAGTTATAATTATGATAATAACAAGTAAGAGAAAAGCATGCATTTGAGAAGAGCCTCTTCTATGCTTATTATCCAGTAAAATGTATCAATTCCAGTTCCTTTAATATTCTCATGAATCTGTATTTTCAGAGTAGTTCATTGAAGTTATTTAGTTAGTTTATACAACTGTATACAAATGTGGTTTGATATATTTGTTTTAGGCAAAAAGAATTCATTGCTTTCCATTTGACTTCTCAAGGTTATTATCTCCATATTAACTGTTCAGAAGCAAAATACTACAAAATTTCTTCGCTGTAATTAATACGGTTGTATTGGTCAACTTCATTATTAGTAATAATAATAATATTATTATTGGGGAATCTGTTGTTGATGTGTTGCATAACGTAGTTTAGGATTTGATGATAATTTTCTTGAATACATTTGTTTATCTATTCCATTTTTTGATTTATTATCCAAAGTCTTTTTATGCACGTAGCTCCTTCGACAATTTACCTAGAAACCAAACAAACAAATATGTTGGATTAAATCAGTGCATTGCAATACTTCTGTTGAAAATTGATAAAATCTACAACACGTGTAGAATGATTAAACCTAAACTTTTGGGCCAATTTCGAAACCAAATTATCACTTCCTGTGGGTTACACAGTTCAGTGATGAGAATTCACGACAGTTTTCATTTGGAAACTGAAAAATATTCAAGTTGCTTATTTCCACAAATAACAAGAAAGCAAGAAAAAATTTATGGTACTGTATGCTTCTGATTGATATGAGCAGTTGGTGAATATTCATACCGACCAATTTTACCTGTCTTTAAGGAGAGTTTATACTATTGTTTTGAAAATGAAACAGTTTTACTAGTAATTATTGAATCCTTTCATTTAGAATATTTTTGAGAGATACTCTACATGATCTCATTTTAAAACTGGATTCTTCAGTACAGTTATTTCCTCTGAGATACTAAGGGAATGAAATAAAAACTTCATAGTTGGCAAAGTCCCTAAGGATTGTCTGCCTGTTCAAAACACCGGATGACAATATGGCTTGATTTGGGATCAAGGCAATCAACACAAACTAAGATTGAGAATAGCAAAAATATTACCTGAAAAATCGAAGCAACTCGACTTGCTGTATGCATCAAGTATCCAGTGGAATTCTTTTGTGATCGAGGTTTCATTTCCTTTGTATACTGTAGTTTTGTAAGCTGACCGTCTAGATTTGAATTTTTACCAACTAAATTTGTCGAATCATTATTTAAAAGTGATGAATTTAAACAATCTCTCTTGCTCGATGAATATTCATAACAGGATTTTGTTTGTTGAAATAAATTCAATAGAAATTCTGATAAAACAATTGATTTTCCACCTAAACGTTTTTCTTCTAACTTTTTCAATTCATTTAATTTGCATATTTTATTTCTTAGTGTAGATCTTGGTATACCATAAACACTAGCTGCCCTACGAGTTCCTAATCGTCCGAAACAAATAGCTTTAACAGCTGCTGACAATTCAGCTTCTGTATATGGACGTCTTATTTCTTTGTTTAAATTACAAGTGTTATCGTATGTAAAATTATTTGAATTTATTTCATATTGATGATGGTTGAATTGTTTATTTCTTGATGGATTTTTCATAACTGAACAAAATAGTGATTCATCTGTCTTATAATATGAATTATTTGTAGTGTTTGCACTTTCATCTGATAGTGTTGAATAGACTTCTTGTGTTAGTAGGACTGGCATTTTCAGTAGATTTGTCGCCCACAAACTGTTATCTCCATTTGAATAATTTCTAGAAGTTACATGGTTAGAACAATTGCAGTAAATATGTGAACATTTATTCGCCTTTTCATAAGATTGAGTGCCATACATATTTTCTTGTTGGCTAAATCATTAAAAATTTAATTAGAGTGCGTATTGACATATAAAATACAAAAATTTAAAAATAATGTCTGAAGAATGAAATGATATGATCATTTATACAACCTTGAAGACCCTGAGTAATATGAACCTTATATGCTAATGAAAACTGTTGTAACTGCTAATCGCAACGTCGTCCATAACAGCGACAATACTACTGAGATGCGAAAACACGACAGAAGACCGTTGGTAAGAGCGTTTTTATTGCTCTAAAGAAAAACTGAAACCGCTGACAGCAATACAGAATATATATAGTTTAAATGACTATGACAAACACTAAATTTGCTTGTAATCGTTTAATTAGTTGACAGCAAGTGATAGTCTAATCTTCACAAAGAATGTGGAACACAAAAGGTGCTATGGTCACGCGATGATTGCAAAATATACTTATTTTAAAGTTCTAGCTAGCAAAATAAGGCAAAAGTATATACAACATTAGGAAGAAAACTGATAATATTCCTTTATAAAATCCTGAATGTATATAACTATTCACTGATGTTATTTGGCCTTTTCCGAACAATGAAGGAAGATGCTCATTAATGCGTTTGTTGAGCTGTTTAGTTGTTCGCCCTATATAGCTCATCTTCATTTGTGAAGAAGAACATGATGGTAGACTACACTTCCTTGATGCCCAGTTGAGCAGAAGAGAGGATAGTCCACTCAAGAGAGATGTCTATAAAAACCTATATCTGTAGGACAATATACACATTTCCATAGTTTTGTACCAATACTATACAAAATCAATTTAATCAGATGCCTCACGAATAGAGCAAGACGGATTTGTACAGATGACTCCTTAGAAAATGAGTTGGGGTACATCCAAAATACGCTGGTTCAAATGGGTTATCCTAGTAGATTTGTAAGGAGACACATGAACCACTAGACAGCTCAACATACGCATTGATGAGCATCTTCCTTCATGGTTCGGAAAAGACCAAATCAATTCTATGAGAAATTCTATTTTGTCTATTTTGTCACCAAGTGGACAGAATTAGTGCCTTCAAAGTTATCTATCGTATACACTGATGTGTTAAAGAATAAAAACCAGTACTTTGACTCTGATCAACCAAAACATCGTCTCCTATTCATGCATTCGTCTAGGCTAATGAAAAACACTTCATTTTGGGATCCATTAATAGCTCTTATTCTTTTCTTCAGTCTTCTCCACAGCACCTGAAAAACTTCACATACCATCCGGCAAACACTTCCGTCTACTACAAATACTACATATATAGGCATATTTGTTAATTGTATTCGTTTACTCTGATTGGGTATTCAAGGTCATGGTTAATGCCGGCTACCACCTCTTAACATTCCCCAACTAAATACCATTCTGATATTCATTACAAATTATCATATTATTTCAGTATCGTAAAATTCTTAAGAAGACATTAGAGTTGCTTTCGTCAAGTTTCTTATCACTTATATCTTAGGTTAAATATCCTTTATTACGAAAAAAAAGCTCTCCCATTTTTATCTGGTCTTTATGATAGAATTAGTTGTGTTGTTTTCATCTGATGAGAATGTCTTACTTATACTTTTTTGAAATGGAGTGAACATTGTTGGTTCAAATAGTATTTCTGAAACTAGCTACCATAGATGTTTTTATTTGTGTGGCATGATGGTTTTTCATATAGACAGCACAAAGCGCCCACTTTCTAAACGCATCTCAAAACACTCTTGGCTATTGCTATCAAGGAGATAATCTAATTATAGCAATGTAGCTCTCCCGGAGTCCTCTTTTAAAACTATTTAACCTAAGCCTTTTGATTTTTTGAAAAAATGGGATGGCGTTTATCACTAGGATTTGCTTTGCTGTTTTCATACAATCCTCTCTATCGTAGGTTTGATGCCCGATGAGGTTACTGCTGCGTACTGCTGAACAGTCTCAAATTAGGAAGTAACTGCTATCCAGTACTTCCTGGTTTTCAGTGGTCATCTAACTGAAGGTATTTCGTGACCTGACTTGAAAATATAGTCAGTTGACAAAATCAATGGTTCTCTACTGACATCAGTCCGTGATCAACTCGTAAAAACATAACAAACCCTTACAAACCAAACTATAGAAAATACTCACCTACTTCCACACGAAACTGTTTTCATTGACAAATCTAAGGGTTCATCGTCTTCATCGAGGTTTGCATGTGGTTTTTGTGTACTCTGAATAGAATTGAACTTATATAATTGATTCATATTTGGTAAATTATAGCGGTGAAATTGTGTGAATGAATAAATAAATTGTTCAACGAGATTTTTTTCATTAACTGAACATTGACACTGTAAGTGACATTTGTTTGTATCCACACCGGGAAAGAATTTCTCTACTTCTAAGTATTTTATTGATTTTAATCCATCATCAAGATAAGGATAACATGTATCAGATAATGAAGGTATTCTATCGACGTTTAAACGGTCCGTAGATCCTAAATAAAATCGAAATGAACGTGGTTATTTTATGTTAATTCAACTACTGAATGTTTATGACAAACTGAAAACAACTTACGTAAGAGATTTTATCCTCTGTGGAAAAACCAGATATCCAGTCGAATACAACACCAACATAGTAAGGTTACGTATACTAAACCAGCCATGAAAATTTATATTGAAATTTTTAATTCATTCATTTATGTGCTGTTAACAATGTAAGTAGATGAATCAGTTTATAAACAAGAAATGTTTTACTAATGGAATTAAGCTTAATTAATTTGAGTCTTGACGTCGTATAATTTACATATTAGGAAGATGGTGTTATAAAATATTACTTTAATTTTATGTGACTGTCAAGATAAAATTTCTTTTTTATTCCTTTGCCGTCCTAATCCAAAACACAAGCAATGGTGTTGTTTTTTAAGGGACGGGTTTGTTAGCCTCCCGTCAATGCTTCCCACTTTTCCCCACTTATTACTGGCTAGGCGGAGTTCTTTGCATCGGTTGGGAATCAAACCCGGGACCAAGTGCGTAGTTGGCGACCATTCTACCACTGAACTACCGACTCAATATGACTGAGTTTGATTAACCAAAATGAAATGCAGTTCTAAAGAGATATCACAACAGAATATATATATCATAAAATTTATGATTACATTGTGTTTTCAACCTTTTTAGTTGACATTTTGAAACTTTTGCACGAACATGCAGTACAGTGCAGTTTGAAGTAAGAATCTAAACATGTAGTTAAAAGTGAAAATGCTAACACAACCAGTAAAATGATTTTATTTTTAGATGCAACTTTTTTATAAGAATGCTGCGTGTCACAAACCCACCACGTTTCTTTTCACGAAATTTCGTGATGTGTCTTATGTACTATAGTATAACCAATTAATATGAATAACAATCCTAAATGTCTTGTTAAACTAGTATTACTGATGGTAACGAAAAGTCCAAATATGACAGTAATACGCCAGTGAGCAATAAGTCACTATTTTATCATTTAAAATTATGCTACTTATTTAATACCAAGTAGTACAAATTGTTTTGATAAATCACACAGTGTTGTACAGTAATATTAACTGACGTTTCGAGCACAAATTATTGCCACTCATAATCATATCAAATCACTCACACAACTTTTTCCTTCATTTATATACATGAATAAAATTAATCACTCATTTGAATAAAATCAATATAAGATAAAGTACATTCAGAAATAATATTAGTGTTATCAATCAAATACAATCAGATGGGAAATAAGATGTTTTTATAGTAAAAATAAGTAACTTGTTAAAATGTCATAATGTGAATTGAATACATCTTAACATTATTCATTATCCCCCACTGATTTGACTGGTAGTAATATCTTTCCTATGTCTGATATTTGCGTTGAGTCACTTCTATTGCATGTGTTGGGTGTAGACTCGATGAACCAGGATTCAGTAATCAATCTCCCTCTCCACCTACCTACTGAATTTGATATCGCTCAATTTAAACACTCATTATATTAGTTGCCTAATTTCTCTAATATATTCTTAATACAACCATTACCATTATTACCATTATTTCTGTCACACTTGGTTGATACTGGACATTGCTTCGAAGCCGACAGAGCCTTCAGGGTTACATGCCAAATTCCGAACTCGTTACCACGTACAGTCCCACTTACGTCTCCTGCACATAGATGAAGCTGTTGCAATAAGATCGACTAAACCGGAACTTTGTATCCAAAAAGAACACGTCCATACGCTGTTCCTACTGTGGCCAAACTTTGACTAATGATTCTTCATAATTTATACCCTTGATTAAGACATTCAATACTATCGAATTTTCCATTTATACTATCCGGACTTATTATTAGTGATATTACCTCTTTTCTCAGTGTAAGCCTCCACCTGTTTCATTTCACACTTTGATTTTTATGATGAACCTCTCATTGTAATCTATATCCTCTTAAATATATACTACTCAGTACCAGCGACTGACCTGACACCTTTTCTAACCTTGAACTGACTTGCTAGTTTTTCCTACCCCACACTCTACAAATCTATTGTGACTAATCACCACCATTGTCTCCCATTTTACAATATCTTGTAATCGATTTCAGCCTAGCACGTTTGTCACACAAATGCTACTATTTATTTTGACACCCCATAACTAATATGTTATTCTATGTAAAAATGTATCCCCCGCATAACTTGCCATTATTGTAACAAAAACAAACATTATATTTTATAATTTTAAGAACCTGAAAAAGGATGTGTTGAAAAGAATATTCTTCGTTCAGACTGACTTTTAATTCATGATATGGGAATATTTCACACTATTAAATTATTTTAATAAACGGTAGAAAAATTAATTGTGATTTAACCAAATCATTCTTCATTTTTATATATGCATTAGGTGGTTTCTATAAATGGATCACAAATAAATATATTTTGTAATTTGTTATAAGATGTCACAACTGTATATAAGAATTATTCAACGTAATCATTTAATACCACCATAGGTGATAGTTCAGAAGTAATGGATACTCATATTAATAACAATAGTATCAAATCCCTACCAATCAACTCTTGAAAAATAATGATAATAATAAAATTGTTTGAAGTTTTCGTAATCTGAGTGGTCAGTTGTGTTGTAGGGTTGAGGAAATATATGTGTGGTTACAGAGAGAAGAGTTACCTTCTCGCAGTAATCAAATGAAGCGGTTTGCTTAAATCACTGGGCTACTTAAATTTCCACATAGCGAAATCAACCACATTCCATACTGTCTTATTCATACAGTTACGTTTTGAACAGCATTCCGTACTCACATCCATTTCTATATAGGTGTCAGCCTACCGTCATTGATTTTTCCAGTGAAAAGAAGGCAGAATACCGAGGGTGAACGAAAAGTGGTTTTCGGTGTAATTGTGTTGTCTGAGCTGGATGGTTTACTTGCAAAGCTTTCATTACCTTACTAGGCAACATCTTCAGCGTATGCTTCAGTATGAAGTAAATCATCCCAACTAAACCATCCAGCTCAGAGAACACAACTACATCAAAATCATCCACCTGAGCTACAAATCTTCTCCATTATATAGAAAAGTGGTTTAGATACAACAATATTATTTCCAGTGATACATTATCCATAATCATTCTACTTGAAGCTTCTGTAGAAGGAGTAAACATTACGCAGTAAAATACGTTGAGAATTTTACGCTATGATTATTATCACTACTATTAAGTCCCCTAAATGTTTGCTAAAATTTAAGGAAAATATGAATATATTGATCTTTAAAACAATTAAAGTATCAAAAGTTGGAATGATAAAACCTAGAGATTTAAATTTAATGCCGCATTATGTCCAATGACCATATCAATTTTGAGCTCCCGACGGTTTTAGCTGCCTTTATTTAACAGCTCTTGCCAATGTTCACAAAGGTGACGATAGGATTATCAGTTCGTTCTGACTTTCCCCCGATCTCTCTCTATCTAAAAGAACAGTTAAATTAGTAATATCATATAATTTTCGATTGCTTGGAATTTTGTATTTTCTGATTTTGTCTTCTTCACATTTATTAGATTAGTATACCTTATCCAGATGAGCTACTCATCATTTAATTCTTTCCGTAGCTCGTCTGTGTGCTGAGAAAGACAACCTTCAAATAGCTTCCCGAATATTCGTTTATGCTTGTTATTTGGAAACGTGTCCTTAAACTTAAATATTACCCTGTCCTAGAGCAGTCATTTATTGGTGGTCCGTTTTTCTGTTGAGATCTAAGGGATTTGAGTTCAACGCCTTATTAGATATGTCATTACAGTGAATCATCTGCGAACTTACTTTCGTCACTTATTTAAAACTTTTTGGTCATCATATGATGGAAAGTTAAATTATCTATATTTTATGAATCATTTAAATACAAATATTTTCGAAAAGCTAAAGATATACTTCAGATTGGAAGCCTGCTTCATTTTTGGACTTATCACGTTTACTCTCTAGACTACCATCCATCAAGCAGGCTGCAAATAGTTTACGAGATTGACCTAGTAAAAATTCTAGTGGAGCTATTGACGCCTTGAATGGCCAGAAAAATTAGCTGTCAAGTTTTCGTGACTTCTTTTGCTCGTCATATTTCAACTAATGGATGCACCAAGCGACACATATTGTGTTTCATCTATTCTTACCTATACTTCGTGATTTTTACATTTTATTCCAATGTAGAAATCTTTGAAATTCACCTAGATATATCTTAGTTGTTTGTGAGCAGCAACTTTGTGGACTGCGTCTCCCTTTCCTCGGTTGTCCATTCTAATCATATAAGTCTGCACACACTGCGCTAAAATAGCCCTATTCCGTTATCTAATTTATAACGTGATGCTGTTTTCTTTGTAATTACCATTTCAGCTTAAGAATATAAAAATGTAACGATAGGAACTCATGCATATAATTAATGATATAAGACTGATTGGTGCAGTGACTAATATTCAGTGTACAATGTAATCAAATATAAATGAGGATTAGTTACTGTAGGTTTGAAACACCTGTAAAATAAAAAATAAAAATAAACAATCGTAACAGATTTACTTATAAAAAGTTGAGTTGTTGTACAGTGAGCATTTTTTCCATAGGTATCGATACTGTGGTTGTCTACCTCTTATCAAATCGAGATTAAGTAATCGAAACTCAATTGAAATTTTACCTCTGGATAGTTTATAGGAAGAAAAGAAGGTTTGAATTTGCATTCTGCCTCCTGATATTTTTGGAGATCTGAACTTGGTGAAGTTTTATTAGTTCTGATAAAATACTTCTCAAATTTTGTTTTTATGACTTTGTCTCTAAAATATTTAAGAACTTGGACTGTTTCCAAATGCAAACGAAAGTATAGGACATAATGGATTTTTATTATGGCATTGTGTAATTCATTTAGATGTAAAGCTGTCGTGTTTCTGATGATTACCTCATGCATTTGTCCTTGAAAAATCACTTATCCCGTCTGTAGTACTGGTTGACTTTCCCCTTCAAAATTCTGTCAGATATTTTTTTGCTTTCTGTTTCCGAATCCTTTGGCGGCCTGCTTAAAACTTGGGCTACCGAGAGCTTCCATATCTCTATTGCATATATTTTCTCTTGTTCGGTTTGTTTTAATCGACTGAGGTATGGCCTCTATTAGTATTATCTACTCTTATGTGTATTTACAATGTTTATAAGCTCCTGATTCACAAGTTTCAACTAAACTTGAGAAATGGCCTAATTGTGAGTGGCGCCGTATCGCAATACATGAGATAACTCTTCTTCAGTTATGTCCTTGGGTCTCAAAATGTACTTCTGAACATCTTACAAATGGCTTTCAACCAGATATCGTGGATTTCATGAAGGAGACAAAGCAGATATATCATAATGAAATGGTTTGTGCTTCAGCTCAGAGACCATTGTGTCACAGAATATAATGTCAATTAATATATTACTTGAAGATGTTATACGAAGGGAAAATGTCATGCAATAAACTCCTCTAAAAATTCTGTAGATTTTGTAAATACTATCCAGAATAAAGATATTATTATTACTAAGTTCAAAGGTCAATTTTGAGAGCACATCTTCTTAAAGAGTAAATGTAGAAATGGTCTGACAACAGTGAATAAGGCTGTAACCAGGATACCAGTGGAGAGTGAATAATACAAAATTATATTCAAGCAAAGTATTAATTGTTTCCTATGGACTAACATACTACTCTTGTCGAAAATACACCATTCAAGCAATTAATTATTCGTTTAAAATGAAATCAACCGTTCTTCTACTCCTTTAATTATCAGTGGCGTAAATGTGTTTTGTCCTCGAAACACGTGTTTGATACGATTTAAAGATACAATCATGCATTGGTCGGTCATATTATATAAGGACTAGTGTATTTAGAAAAAAAAATAAAATAAACAAACAACGAATAATTAACTGGCTCGTTAAATATGTTCACTTATTTGTTTCTTTAACCTGGAAATTCTTTAAACACAGATGTGAAAGTTATTACAAACAACAAGTGAAAATTCACATCATAGGAATAATGTTACTCAATCTACTTGTATTAATTTGCCACTGAATTTATAAGCTTTAATCAAAGTGTACTAATGTGAATGTAATATTTGTTTTTTCCCCTTTCTGCATACTTGTCCTTAGTATACGCTCCCAAACACAGGATGAATTTAAACACCACATATGGTCTTAAGATTTTTTTCCCCTATACAATAATGATAAATTAATTAACCAAAATAAAACCAACATATGTCCGATTTGTGGTTACACTTCATTTTACAAGTATCTGATTTCAGTTCATCACTTGATAATTTTTTCCTTAGTTTGGTCAATTTTGCTTTCCATTACAAAAACATTTTTTGCAACTTTCCACATGTTGTGAAGTATTCATTGTCCTATAAAAACAGTCTCTAAGACATAGTCAAGTTTACAACTATGGTTAGTGAGTGTGTGTGTCTGCAAATGATTCCCGTTACTATGAGGCTAAAATAAACATTTGTTTCGTGGAAAGAAAGTTACAAGAAATATATACATACACATTTGTTTTTGATACTGCTGATTAGAGATTAATAAGAGGAGTTAACTCACCATCATGGCAATCTCCAATTGATACATAAAGCTTCTTGTTTGTGTGTTACGTTTAATTAACATGTGTGGTGGTGATGGTGGTGCAGCGGTAGGATGCAGACCAACCACTAATTTGGTCTGACATTTGATCGTAGACTGACGGACCCCTAAACTTTGCTTAGCTGGTAGTAAACCCAGTAAAGAGGGAAGGTTGAGCATGAGACTAGCAACTCTACCCCGTCAAAATAAAACCACTGCTACGGAAACTTGAAGGCTCAAGTCTTAAGCCCTATGTTCCACTTGGAACACAAGGGAATAAAATAAATATGCGAATAAATGCAATCGCCTGAGACAGTAACGATAAATGTCAATAGTATTCATTACACAAGTTAATAAATTTACGATTCTGTAGTGGAACAACCGGTTATCATTGGATTATTTTTTTATTTTTGAACTTTAACATCTCACTTTGTAATTCTTGATGGTCTATTATTTAATTCCTGGGAATATCACGCTTTTTTAGCACTATCGTATGTAAATGATTAAACATAAAGATAATAACCGCTCCTTGTACTTTACGAAGACCCGACGGAGCCATATTTTTAATTAAAATTATGGGTTTCTTAGTAATTCTGACTTATTTTATTGGAGATTTCGTCATGAATTGATGTGAGTTAGAGAACCATTGAAAACTATAGAGCACTGGACCTCTGCTTGGGACTCTTAAAGATAAAGTACTGACAACCCAATCACAGATCGAATCTAGGACTTTTAGATTACAAGGCTATTTCCATTGGCCACTGATCCACTGTTTTAGAATTCAACGGTTTGTGAATTCTAACTTCTGGCTTTTTGAAATATGTCGCTGCCACCAACTAATGCCAAGGATAAGCATAAGTTTCGTTCTGATATGTTAAATCTCACCGGGCACTGCATCTCCTTGGCTTGATCCCTGGTGGGGTCATGGGTACGCACAAGTGAATAGAGCTAAACTAGTATGAAATAACGTCTGGTATTATCTGGTATTCAGTGATTCACTAACTGATATTGGTTCGTGGTGAAATGTACTCTGAAATATTTTTATCCCATACAGTGATGTATAATACTGGTAAATCAGATACTCAGCTGAAATCTATCCAAATCAGTCTTCAGGACTCATCAACTAGATCAGTTCACAGTAGGGTAACTATTAGTTATTACTGAATAATTGGTGAGGAAGTCTAACTGTTATTAGCTATACAGAAGTAGTCAGATGGTTTATGTAATGGCTAGAGATAATTCAGCCGACTGCAATGATAATTATTTATACTACCAGACCTGAATAAATTCTCGGGATGAATGAGTTGATAAAATGCATATTTAAAAATTGGTTAGAACTATTATAGAGTGCTGTATAAATTTTAAATGTTAAGCAAGGCGTACTATTTATTCTTGTTCCAAATCTCTTGGATAAAATTCAAGTGTACATTTTACCTGTTAAAAGTCAAACATGTTTTTGACTATATACTGAGAATATCCAGCTGACAAGTCCCAAATAGGATGAAACTAGCATCCTGGATTCCACTTTTAGCCATCACTAATCAAATAGCTTATTGAGGTTAAAATCGCGAAAACGGTATAATGTCAAAGGTAATTTTAGAAATTTCTTTGATCAGAAAAAGCTGCTGTCAGTAGCAAACAGTGCTCAATTCAAGTTCATCCCCTAAAACTCAGAAGCAAACATTTGGGAAAACTAATACACACATCATAATAACAATGCGGTCACCCAGTGTGGGACAATTCAGCAGTGCATGCAAATGAGCCCATTATAGATTTCACCCAAGACCTGCATGTTATGAGTCTAGCGCTTTTCCCATTCAGTCACTAATCATAAATCAAACCACCTATGAATCCTAGTTTTTGTTCATTGTTCAAACGATCACAGTTTGTGATAAGATCCAAAATGGCAAATAATTAAAATCTGTACTAACCTAACATCCCTGTTTTAAATGTATTTCTCATTTGTTACTGGCTGTAGGATGGATGTCCTGAAGTTCTAATGGTCAGATCAGCTAAGTCTAGTGAAAAGACAGATATTCACCAGTGATATTTGTTACTTTATAACAAAATGACTTAATGTTAACATACTCGTTTAACACCTCATAACTCCTTGGTTCTATCACTGATAGGGTAATGGGTATACACTGGGGGTGAAACTGAAACCTGTAGAAAATAGTTGTTTACTCTCTTCTGGATTTTAATGACTCTGTAATTGATGTGGGTTTGTCACAAAATCTACTCTGGAGTGAATAAAATTCCTACATACTTAAAATCTATATAAAATTTAACTTAAGCTTAAATGTGTGACACATTTATGACAGATGGACGTTTGAAAAATACTCCTTTGCATTTCAAGTAATATAATTCAGAAAAAGTCATCTAGATTTTTATTCACATAACAGAGGTATCCAACTTCTTATCACATTCAACCTATTTATGTGTTTGTTTCTCATAAGAGTAATTAACAGTTAGTTTTAAGGTTACAAAATGTTGTGGACAATTATTATGTTCCATGTCTACCAGCTACCTACTGTGTAGTGCAGAAGAAAAATGATAATTTAATTTATCTTATTATGTTTTTAGTTTACCAACTGTTTTATCATTATGTTTTGGAAGGAAAATCCTCCTTGTAAGCCTCTTTTTTATTAAATTCTTAGGAGATTTTGCCCGTGAGTGAAAAATAGTGGCTTAGTACAAGTGTATAGTTCACAGGAGTGGTATATTTCTTCAAGATTATTACATCTCCAATGTTTTCGACATAATTTTTTTTGTATTCATGTTATCTTAATTTATTTATATATAGCAAATTGAATTTGCTTTAAATGTGAATAATTCCTGTCACAGTATTCAATTAAGTAAATGAAAAGTTTTAGTCTGACTTAAAAGGGTAATTTGTGGGATAACAGTTTCTGTCTGATAACTGTATGAATTTCAATTTAACAGAAGGATTGTTCTGTTAAAGTTTGTTATAATACGTACATATACATAGTACATGTTCAAATATATTCATTATATTGAAATTTCTAGAATTCAATCTTCTTTCCTATCATCATTGTGCCTACGATGATTTCATTTGGTACACTGGAATAAATAAAAATTCATATTAAGGGCTAATAAAATAGCGACAGTAAAATGGTGATCTATGCAATCAAGCTTCTGAAAGCTGGAAAAGCAGCTGGACCAGATGGAATACCCCCGGAAGCACTGAAAGCGGACCCAGAAACGACAGCAGATATGCTGACTCCATTATTGCAAAAGATCTGGAAAGAGGGAAAGGTGCCTACTGACTGGAGGAAAGGTTACCTGGTGAAACTACCAAAGAAGGGCGACCTGGGACTCTGCAAGAACTTGCGAGGATTCATGCTCCTGTCGACGCCAAGTAAAATTCTGAGTCGCATCATCCTGGAGAGAATAAAGGACGCACTGGATACAGAACTCAGACCAGAACAGGCTGGATTCAGGAAAGCAGGCAGAAGCACTGCTGAACAAATTTTTAACATAAGGGTACTAAACGAAAAATGTCTACAACACCAAAAAATGCTAGTACACAACTTTATCGATTTTAAGAAGGCCTTTGACCGTGTGTGGCACGAAGGCTTATGGCAAGTCATGAATAACTACAATATAGATAAAAACATAATTGAGGTTATTAAGTCTTTATATAACAAATCTAGTAGTGCAGTATCTCTAAATAATCAAACTGGCGAGTTCTTCAGAACAACTATAGGAGTACGCCAAGGGTGCATTCTCTCACCAGTCCTCTTTAATTTATTCCTCGAACATATTATGACACAAACCCTACATGACTTTACACCGACACTTAGCATAAACGGAAGACCAATTTCCAACCTCAGATTTGCTGATGATATAGCCCTCATTGGGGAAAACATTGATCAAGTTCAGGACCTCACCTCAAGACTTGATGTTGCAACCAAATCTGTGGGCATGGAAATCAGCACAGAAAAAAGCAAAATACTCATTAACGGAGGAAACAACTCAGATAGATGTATCAGACTTGATGGACATGTATTAGAAGAGGTTGAAACTTTCAAATACCTTGGGTCTACCCTAACAAAAGATGGAAGGTCCACTAAGGAAATAAAAATTCGACTAAACCTAGCCTCTGCCACCATGTCCAAGTTAGGGAAAATATGGAAGAGCAACACCAGCGTCTCAGCAAAAATGAAACTCTACTCGTCACTGGTCCTCTCTGTATTCCTATATGGATGTGAGAGCTGGACCCTGAATGCAGAGACAGAAAGAAGAATACAAGCCTTCGAAAACAAAAGCTATAGAAGGATCCTAGGAATAAGTTACCTTGAAAGGAAAACTAATGAATATGTCTTACACCAGGTCCATAGACTGGCAGGAAAACAGGAACCACTCCTTTCAATCGTAAAGAAACGGAAACTACAATGGTTCGGCCACACGGTAAGACATGACACATTGTCCAAAACGATTCTACAAGGCACAGTAGGAGGAGCACGAAAGAGAGGTCGACCGAATAAGAGCTGGCTTGACAACATAAAAGAGTGGACTGAAATGCCCTTGGATACGCTACAGAAAATAGCATTAAACCGAGAAGAATGGCGAAGACTGATAGCGCGAACTGTCATAGCACCCCCAAGACGAAAGTCAAGGGACTGATGATGATGATGAAATCATGTTCTGATCAAATTGCAACTCTACGCATCATCATCGAACAAAGCATGGAATGGCAATCAAATCTCTACCTCAACTTTATAGACTTTGAGAAGGCCTTCGACAGCGTCGACCGCGAAGTAATTTGGAAACTACTCGAGTACTACGGCTTACTCCAAATATTCATCAACCTTATTCAACAGCTGTACGACAACGGCACATGTCAAGTGATCCACAACGGAAAACTCAGCGAGGCGTTTGGAGTAAACACAGGAGTCAGACAAGGGTGCTTATTATCACCAATGATATTCCTAATTGTGGTGGACTGGATTATGCGGTAGACAGTGGGAAACGAGAAGACCGAAGTGAAGAGCCTAGAAGACCTGGATTTCGCGGGTGATATATGTTTGATGTCACACAAAATCGAAGACTTACAAGCGAAAACCGACAAACCGGTCGAAGAAGCGGCAAAGACAGGACTCCAAGTGAACATAGACAAGACGGAGGTTATTGAAAATAACCAACAAACAACAACAACAGCAGCAGCAACATCCAGCGCCAATCACCATCAACGGGAGGGATTTGAAAGACGTTACTTCATTCACTTATCTAGGGAGCATTGTCTCAACCACAGGAGGAACGGACGAGGATGTCAAATCGAGAATCGGGAAGGCGAGAAACACATTCATCAACCTGAAACCAATCTGCAAATCTTCGTCACTCAGCATCAACAGAAAATTCGGATTTTCAATACAAACGTCAAGTCAGTCACTTCTTCTATACGGATCAGAAACTTGGCGGGTCACAAAGAATATTTCCAACAGACTGTTGCAGACCTTTATCAACAACTGTCTTCGCTCTATACTGAAGATCAGATGGCCGGAAAGAATCACCAACAAGAAACTATGGGAACAAACAAAACAAGAACCAATCGCTCAACAAATATGGAGGAGAAAGTGGAGATGGATTGGACACTCGCTGAGGAGGCCGTTGGGTGACATCGCGCGTCAAGCCATAGCTCGAGTGGAACCCGAAAGGGAAGCGGCGAGTGGGACGTCCGAGGGTGACATGGAGGAGATCGTGTGAAGAAGGGTTGACGCAGTATGGACTAACATGGATGCAGGTGAAAAGTACATCAGAAGACAGAAGCAAGTGGAGACGTGTAGTTGAAGCCCTATGTTCCACTAGGAACCCAAGGGAACAATAATAATATGGTGATCTAATCCATCTGAATAATTCACAATTATACGGAACTGATGGTGAAAGCCTTTAGTTGGCAGAGTACTGCCGATGTAGCTGGTCATGAGTAAAGACTGCAGCACGCTTCATGCCACTGGATTTCAGCTAGTATTTCAATGATACCTGGTTGAGAAATGAAGGATTGCACATTAAATTCAAGATATCTGTTTCACGTGCACGAGATGGTGGTTTATTTTGAATAATTTCTCATAATTGTTTGATCGCAAAAACTTTAACCAGAAAAGTTTAATTTCTACATATTACTACGAATTTCAAGATCTGATCAAATTAAACTTGTGTACATCGAATACATACATGACGAAATAAGGACTCACTCTGTTTTCTCTTCCAAGCATTTGTGTATAGTGTGTTTAATGTTAGCAGATAACTAATCACTTATGTTTTCATCCTTAAATTTTGGAGATAGGTGATTCTAAAATCATATATGTATTTGTAAAAAATTATATTTGTAAAATCTCAGCGAAATTGAAATGATTAATTCCAACGTTTCGTTCGGCAATCTGGTCCGAACTTCTTCAGGGAAATTAATCGAAATTAACATAACAGAGGTTTATATATAAAAGGACATCTCTTGTTTTTTAAAAACTTTGTCCAATCATATGAGTCATGAAACAGGTATCAACATATATAACAAACAAAATTGTATGAACTGTGATCAAAATTTGACCTCAGACTTTCAAAATTAGTCTACTTTTGTTAAACAATTTAAACAGTGTACTTTTTCATCAGATTACGTTAAACTAAAAGTTCATGGTCGTAGATAACTGAATTTGAAAATATATGTGTATATGCAATTATTTTGAAATTATTCGGTCAAATCTTGATCACAATTCATATGTTATATATATAATATATATATATATATATATATATATATATATATACAATGGATCAAGAAGGTCCGAATTTCCTTGACACCTACTTGAGTAGGAATTATGGGGAGGGTTTATTGGATTTACCTAAAAACAATGTAATCTATCATGCGATATAGCTCAGCAAGTAGGACACTTGGTCATTTCATGATACCTGTTAAGGAG